GCTGCATCTGCTGCCTACTTATACTCACGCTGTGATCAGCAGCAGCTGGATGCAATAATCGCATGCCAATGTGCATTGGCTCGTTTAGTTTACACTCGAAGTAGATTGGTCTCTCTAAGGAAGATCCCAATTCGTCGGTCATCCGACGTGATGTCGAGAGTGACCGACTGAAAGGGAACTCCTGTTCTGTATAATGTATAATATTGTGTAATTATGAAAGACATGTCACTGGAATGATGATTTGTTTGATTCTCTCTGCAGTTTGACTGAATGCAGTATTGGAGAAGAAGGTTGTATTGTTCTGACTTCAGCTCTGATGTCAAACCCCTCACATCTTAGATTCCTCAATTTGGGCAATAATGAACTAGGGCACTCTGGAGTGAAGCAGATCTCTGATCTACTGCAGAATCCACTCTGTAAACTGGAAAAACTATGGTGTGTTTGTTATATTATTGTGACAATATGATAATATTTCTGAAGAAGCACATGCAATTTATCCAAGGAGGCAAAGCAGGCAGTACTTTTTTTGGTAAAAACATGGAAATTGGCAACAATACAAAAATAAAATTGAAGCTCAAATAATAAGCTCAAATAATGTGTAAATGACTTATTTTTCTATAGTAATACTGTCCAACAGTTAAACCAGTGGATAACGTTTTCGAGAGAGGCAGCATCTCTTTTGCCTCTATTTGGTTAACGCTGTGCTTATGACTATATTTACAATTCAATTTACAATATTGAAAATGTTCTTCCCCTTGTGTTGGTTATGCCGTTTAAGCTTAGTAATTAGTAAAAAACATACATGACAGGTTACACACCAACACACATAAATGTTTACATGAAAACCTGAGATGTTCTTTATCTAAACCCAATGCAGGTTGTCTAACTGCAATATCACAGAGGAAGATTGTGTTGCCCTTGCTTCAGCTCTGAGATCAAACCCATCACACCTGAGACACCTGAATCTAAGTAAGAATAAACCAGGAGATTCTGGAGTGATGCTGCTCAATGCTCTGCAAAACGATCCACGCTGTAAACTACAGTGAGTGTCATTTTATGTTTACATTTATTTGTTTAATAGACACGTTATCCAAATGAGCTTACACCTGTTTTTAAATTGCTTTGGTTTGGTTTAAATTGCAAAAATGTGGAACTTTTTCAAAACTCCACACAACAGATCATCAAAAATGCACTTTTTTTTTTAAACATTTCAGCACATTTTGAATTGTGTTAGCACAATTCAGCAAATCACAAACATATATTTTCACTACAGATAAGTTTTTTATCTATATCAACAATTCATTCACAGCAACAGCCTTTCATAATGCTTTTACTAATCATTTGCATCTCTCGTCATTCAGTTTAATATTTTTCTCTTTTAATCCAAATGGTCTTAATGGTTAATCATTAAATAATTTGGTGCCTCTATAGCTTTATATAGATATAGATTCTATATATACAGACATGTAACTGGCCTTACTATGGTAGAGACCGCCAACTTATTGTAACTGACCCTTCATCTGAAAAGTTCAGCTGCAGTACAGATTCAGTCATATGGTACAGTGAATACATTTATTGTATTGACAGCAAACTTATTTCGGTCCATTGTTCAAGAGATATTAGACAGCCAATAGATTGCATCTTTTCATTATTAAAAGGCTGGAATACACTATGTAACATTTAAAATCTGAAAAGATTTTAAAGCACTTGGCATCGTACACTTGCCAACTTTGTAAATGGTTACAGAGAAAAACTGAACATCATACACTAAACCCCTCACATGCTCTCCACTCAGCATTTGAGTGGCCCCGCCTGCAGAACTCAGAGGAGGAGAGCCACCTTTGTTCCCAAAGCCATTGCATCGGCTAGATAGTTCCTCACTGGAAGATCTAGACTGTATGTATACTTTTCTATGTGCAACATGGAAATGAGGAAGGCAGTCCTTGCGGAGCGCTGGTGCATCATGGTTAAAAGCTCACGTATAGAGGTGTCAATAGTCAGCTCTGTAGAAATAGAAATTGGAGTTTCTATGGGATGAGGCAGATCAACTGGAGAGTTATTTTTATCTTTTCTCATTATTATGTTGAATTATTATTAAACCGACCACAGTTTTCCAAAAATAGAAGCACAAAGCTGAATCCAGCCGATTATGTGATCCTTCCTCACAGCATCATCATCAAGCCCAGAATCATCACCAACATCAACAGATTCTGTTGATGTCCTGTTCATGTTGATGACACCCAGTTGATGGTAGGTTTCTACACTAATGCCAGTTTTTGTATTCTCTAAAATCTCAAAAATCTCTGCAATAACTGAAATTATTTGGGTTATGTTCCCCAACCAACCAATGACTTCTATGAAGAACAGAACAATCCAGGGCCACGTTTTCCAAAAGCATTGTGAGCCTGAGTAGACTGTGGAAACCTTTGGTGCAATTGGTTTACTGTAAACTTAGGCTTGCAATGCTTTTGGGAGTCAAGATTTTCTCTGTGATTACAAAATAAACACAAGCCTTGAAAACCTCTACCAGGTGTGTCTATAGACGTTATCAACCTAGAATCTCATCGACGATGTTTATGGTTCCTGGCTTAATGATGAAACCGTAAGGATCAGGATCAAATAGCTGAATTCAGTCACTATAAAATAATTCAACATAATAATGTGAATCTGTGAAAATATCTTGGAACTCTCCAATTGATCGGACACATCCCATAGCAAACTCCAGTCTCCACAAGTATAGGTCTCTAATGAAAAAAAAGGGGTGAATGTTTGGTTCCAATGATTGGGTGTTTTCAAACAAGGATAGGCATTTTTTTAACTATCAAAACAGTTAAAGTACTCAAAAGTACGTAAAGCCCTAAGAGGCCATGCAGTATAATTTCCCTTTTTCTTTCTTGTTTTTCTCATGATGGCAACTGTTTTGTTGTGTCTAGATCACGATAAAACAATTAGTGGTAACACTTTACAATAAGGTTCCATTAGTTAATGTTAGTTAATGTATTAACTAACATGAACGAACAACAATACATTTATTACAGTATTTATTCATCTTTGTTAATGTTCATTAATGAAAATACAGTTGTTCACTGTTAGTTCACAGTACATTAACAAATGTTAACAAGCAGAACTTTTGATTTTAATAATGCATTGGTGTAAACCCTCTCTCCCGGGTCTTCACCGCCACACTTCGTTCTTGTTCCGAGTGGGTCTCGAACCCGGGTCTCCGGAATGGGAGGCGGACGCACTAACAAGGAGGCTAAAGCATCAGTCGCTAGTGCATCTCTTGAGATCAGGGGAGTGAGGTTTACCTGCACAGCATCTACTCGCTGGCCTCTGTTACACTAGTAAATGTTGAAATTAACATTTAAATGCTGTAGAAGTATTGTTCATGCTTAGTTCATGTTAAAGGCACAATATGTAAGATTTTCGTAAAATATCCAAAAACCACTTGCACAGTGTTATATATTTCATGCAGTTGTGTACTTGCGTTGTCCCAAAAGTTCCCAAGGATTTGTAAATCCAGAGAAATTCCAGTTTTAAATAATGGCTTGTCCCGGTTCATTGTCGCCTATCAATGACGTAATATCCGCGCTATCGGTTTCTGCTTTTAGAAACTATGGCAACACACGTGGACAAAAACGCTGCTGTACAGTTAAACTAAATTCATTACGGCTGTCATGAATAAAATTAAAATGAAATGAAAAGTGTTGACTGCAGCATTAAATTTAGACCATGAATCTTTTTCCCCGTTTTTACAGTGTTGCGCGTTATAACCAATCACACACGAGTCTGTTGAGCTTATGAATGCAGCGGCCAATCAGAGGCGTTCAGATGAGTCATGAGCTCGCTGACTGAATTCTGCTTTCTCGAGGATTCTCTCATCATAAACAACAAAGTGCAGATGTATGTATGATGTAAGTAGGAGGTTCATTCACCAAACAGTGTATAGACCACTTTACTGATTATAAGGGGAGGTTTTGAGAGTGCTATGTACGGTTCTTTGACAATGTAAATGTTCTTTGCTCACTTTCTCTGTATAATTTATTCGCTGTTTGAATAACTTTGGAAGGTAAAGGTAATAAAAAAAAATAATTAATTACATCCGTGAACATGATTTGTGAATTCCATACGTCTCTGAATGGTGAAAACCATAGATATGTATAAAACCACATCTCCCATCGTTCAACTCTTCTTCATAGCATCATCAAGCTTCAGCCTTTGTTATTGTTTAGAAAATGCGACCACTAGCGTCGAAAACTTACATATTGTGCCTTTAACTAAAGTAGTTAATTCATGTTAACTAATGAACCTTATTGTAAAGTGTTACCCAATTAGTTATGTCAAGATCATGAGAAATCAAGGAATCAAGAAATAATGCTGCGTGCTTTAGGACTTCTGTAAAACTGGGAAAAACTTTTTTTCCGAGTGCATAGGCATAGACGAATACACAAACATATTAATCATGTATACATTTTGTGAATACATAGCCTTAAGAATGATTTTGACAGACGACAATTCTTGTGACCCAGCCCAACCTAAAATCAGTTACTGACTTATGTCAGCGATTGTAATTACTAAGGATAAGGTCAGGCAAATGACAAATGTGTATGTAAAATACAGACTACAAACAGTAGCTATATTTATTAGATAAATCTTTCATAAATCATATTTGGTCTTCTCGTGCCCTAAGCTACAGGTTTTTTATAATAGTTGATGTGCTACTTAATAGCGCAGAACACAATGCAATTCCGAAAACTTTAAATGATGGGATCACTTTTTGATCATATAGACATAGTCACAACCTGATGACAAAACTTAAACAAATCAAGTGACTGGTGATCCAACAAATAGAATAACGAGTGTTTGTATGTTATAGTAGCCTAATGTTACAGTAATAGACAATGCTAACATTTAATAACACATCCCTGCATGTAATTGTTTCTGCCGTCCAATTCTGAAAGGAAACGTGCCCGGGCTTACTAATGAATGAACGCATGCAGTTTTTTCACATGCAGTTGATTGACTTGTTAAGTTGTGGATATTTTAGCAAACAGTTTGGTTCATACATTCAGTGTATCAGCATTAAAGAGGGCAAATGTTATCATTTTACCAAACTGTGTACGTTTCAAACAAACAGCATTTCAATCCATGATGTTCTTTCTCCAACCATGCAATAAATGAAGGTCGCAGAATAAGCGCAGTTTCATAACGTATTTAATTCAACTGCTCAGGTAATGTTAGAGGTATGACCCATTCCAGAATTATGATTTAAAATCAGTAAGAGCTAGAAATCTATCTTCGTATTACAGGTAGCTTTATATTACGAGACTACTTTCTATGTTCTATGTTTTGACGTTCTCGCACCCTAAAGTTCCTTGAACACTGAGTCTGAAATTTCCGTATACGGTTTTTCATTTTCGTCATCCTAAAAATTTCGTCACGCACAGAAACCTTGCACATGGAGTCCGATGCGTATTAATTAATCCGTTGCGAAAAAAATTCACAAAATAATACAAAATGGAGTCTTCAAGCTGTGAGGATGATTTTGTTGTCCTCTCTCTTCTTAAAAAGAGAAAAGAAAGATGAAATATTGGGTCCATACAAACCAAGGAGAGTTCCACTTCCTTATCAAGGAGCTGCGGGATTATCCTGGGCGATTCAAAGTTTACTTTAGGATGTCAGTGGCTCAGTTTGATGCATTGCTAGCGATACTGGAGCCACATATTAAAAAGAAGACCACCAATTTCTGTGAACTCATTGTGCAAGGACCTACACATTGCTTTGTGCTGCGAGAAGTGGATCAACTTGTCAGACGCCATTCTGGATTTTGGCTTTCACTTGTACGGTGGCTCTGAATTGTCAAAACGCCTCTAAAAATGCTTGCTACGGATGCAAAAAATGCAGAAAATCGAACCTGATCCAAATTGTTTTATGACGGGACTAAAGTTTCGGAGGCAGTGTGTAAACGTGATTGACACAACGTGAGGTCGTATTTATTTTTTAACGTGCGAAAATTTCGGACTCAGTGTGCAAGGGCCTTAAGTCG